GTGGGTTTAAGCTGGCTCGACCCATTGACATCTCTATGTGCAGTACGAAAGTAGGGAAATTGATAGGCAAACATGTAAATTTATGTTAGGAATAGTTGCAGCTGTGGTCCCAAATAAAATTTTTTTCTCGGACTTTATCTAAATTGTCCGCTTATCAATTCATGGTTCCAAATCCTTTACTTCGTTAAACCAGAAGATCAAATGGATGGATTTCATCCATAAAATAATTAGTTGATAAAAAAAATTGACTTTGATCAATTTTAAAAGAATAAAAAGATAAATTTACATTTTATACGTGAAATAAGTTAAACATTAAATTAATAAATTAAGTAAATAAAAAGAAAATAAAATAAAAATCCATATCCTTCTCCAGCCCCCACCCCAAAACCAAATCAACACAAAAAATCATCGGATCACTGTCAACCACCATCCCCACACATCGCAAACCATCACCGTCATCATCGCCATCGTACCCAAAACTATCTCTGCACAAATCTCCACCAAAATCAACACATCTGCTTCTTCACCAAAATCAACCTTCTTTACTAATAGTAGGTACTCGAGTTTGGAGAAATTCAGTGAAATTGATCCAATTAGTTAGTCTGTTTAAACACCCTCAAACTTGGTTCATTGTTTGTCTTCAAACAAAACTAAAACCTAACAAACACACAATGTTAATTACTTAATTGGTGGCCCATCAATCAAGTAAAGAAAAAAAATTATCTACTGAACCCATTTTTTTATCTCAAGATTGAAATCATAATTTCATATCTATGCACAACTTTAAAATCACAATACAGAAATTAAAATCTACTTTTTCAATGTAAAATTGATGTGTATGTGAGTGAAGAATGAAGTATTGTATTATGAATTCATAAGTTATTTCAATTCCAGACCCTTAATGATCAAATTACTTAACCTGACTTTTTACCTCAGGATTGAAATCATAATATCAAATCTATGCCCAATTTCAAAATTACAATACAAAAATTAAAATTCACTTTTCCAATGTAAAATCGATGTGTGTGTGTGTGAAGAATTAAGTATAGTATTATGAATTCATGAGTTGTTTTAATTCCCGACCCTCAATGGTCAAATATATTCTTTCATCACTCGTAAGATTCACACCCCAAACTTATTCTTTTCGTTCTTTTCAAGTGTGTGAACTAAACTTGAATTTTATACTATCCATTCCTCTCTTGTTTAGGTAATTGTAAGTCAATACTGTTAGCCCAAGAATAACTAATCAAAAGGGGGGTAAATTGATTTTTAAAACTTTTTCGACATTTAGTTTCAAAACAATACAATACATAAGATATAAATGCAAAATATAATACTAGAATTAAATATGCACGTTCGATAACTTAATTCAAGTATGGATATAACACAATATAAATAACAATATAAAATAAAGTGCAATAATGTAAAGATAACAAACCAAATTAATGGGGTTCGATACACAATGTGTTCTACGTCCCCGTTACCAAACTCTCCGTCACGAGCAAAGCCAAATGCATTATAATGGTAACTTACAAATAAGGAGTACCGATCAGTAAGTGATTACAACAATGATCACTTATCCTTAGGCGACTTACAACAAGGAGTACATACCCTTATGTGACTTATAACAAGGAGCACTTATCCTTAGATGACTTACAACAAGGAGCACCTATCCTTACAATCGAGTTTTCACAAGGCTCTCGAAACCGTCAAAATATAAGTGATAATTTTACGATTGAAGAAACTCTCTTAACCAATGATATAATCAAGTTAAGTATTAGAGAGTTAGGTAAACACTTCAATAGATAGCAAATAATAAGGTTCAAGTGTTTGTGTTGTAAACTTTGATAAATAATGAATAATGAAATAGTTTATATCTTTGTATCAAAGTTTTCAACCTATGATCTCTCTTGACAAATAATACAAGTTAAATATAAAGAGAGATTTACACTTCAATATAAGCGTTGGCAAAGAAAACCTTCATCAAGAATTGAAAGATGTGAGATTGAGAAGTTTCTTTGTAAAATAGCATTCTTGATGAAATAGATGAAACTAGTTTTGATCAATCAATAAATTCTTTGTATCAAAATTTTCAACCTATGATCTCTCTTAACAAATAATACAAGTTAAGTATGAAGAGATATTTACTCTTTAATAAAAGTGTTTGGCAAAGAAAACTTCTATCAAGAATGAAGAAGAGATGAGATTGTGAAAGTTTCTTTACAAAAAGAATCCTTGATGAGATAGATGAAAATTAATTTGATCAATCAAGAAATTCTTTGTAATAATTGAAATAGAATTTATAATTAAGTAAGCTCAATGATTTTCAATAAATATACTCTTTAAATTGCTCTTATAAAATCTTTAAGTTGAATGCAAAAGAGATGGGTATTTATAGAGCAAAAGAGGAGGCTGCAGGAACTTTCTGTTGATCACTTTCAGTCGATCGAAAATTTTTGATTGACCAAATATAGCCGTTGGAAATCAAACCGTTAGAATTTCGGTTGACCAACTTCAGCAACTTTCGGTCAACCGGAAATTTTCGGTCAACCAGGTCAATTTTTGGTTGACCAAAAGTTAGACTTTTATATATATATATAGAAAATTGCTTTTTTCAAAATCTATTTCATGTTATGAATGAAAAGTATTTTTATGCAAGTGATGGATTATGCAAATAATTTTGAGCTTTATACACTTACTAAAAATCGATGAATTAATACCTTTACATTTAAGTTTCAATAAACGACTTCTAAGCTTTATTCTTCAAAATTCTTGTTCTTGTCGTTCTTTTGACTTGTATTTTAATTTGCGTCTTTTGAGAATCTTCAAGTTCCAATTCAATCGTTGCATGCAAATCTCTATCTCTCGAATGCAAACTTTCACTTTGATCTTCATTTCAAGTCCAGTTTATGATATGTTGATTTTGGCAAGTCTTGATCGATTTTAACGTTGAACTATCATCACTCAAAATCAATTGTTAGAAACAATATTAATCTTGTTTGTTATAATCAAAACATTGAGGATGAAATCAACCATATGTCAACAAATATTTCAATAAGGATTCTCTATTAAGATTGATTACTTCAATCTCTAGGATTTAATTAGGTTAACAATCTCTTATCAAAAATCAAATTTTCTTAAACAAGTGTTTGGATAGTACCAAGGTATTTGGTGAATCTTCTATTTCATGCACCTTTTTTTTTCTTTATTTGCAGCATTCTCTTCCTTAAATTTTCTAAATGACCCATGTAACAAGTTTTAGGCCGATGACTTCCAAGTCAGTTGATTTTAGGACAACAGGTTTTAGCACCCTTACAAGTTTAATAACTCGAGTCATAAATGCTATGAAGAGAAATTTTCAAATAAAATGTATTTTTTATACCTTGATTAGTGTAATGTCCCTCATTAAACACATATTTAAGTAAAACGACATCTAACTTGAAATTTTCACACAATTGCATTCTATTAACCTTGATAATGCACACAAGATTTTTAATTTTACATATGGAATCCACATTTATCTCAACATTTTCCTACAACAATGAAATCCCCCAAACTATTATAAATTTGGTTGAAGGATGTAAAATTTACTGGTTTTGGATTTAGCATCTATGGTCCACTATTCCAACCTATCCAATTATGAAATTAGCTCATTCCTGCACAATGCTTAATTTAATTCATGTGCTCAATATATATTGAATTTCACAAAAAGTAAAAATTAATCTAGGTATGCAACTTATTCACCATTTATAGATCAATTAACGATTCAATATATTTTTCATTGTTAGGCAGGCCAATTAACTCATACAAGCACATAAAAAGAAAATATTTTTAAAAATTTTAAAAATTTTCAATTTCAAATTTATTATTATTTTTATATCTAAAGTAATGCAATAAAAGTATACAAAAATACATAAATATAAGAATGACACAAACACACAAAAAAAATGAAAAAAAAATGTGAAAACCCATGTTTTCCACCTTTAATCTTAAACTAGACATTGTCCTCAATATCTTAAATAATAAATCCTCATATAAAAGAGTGGAGAAGAAAAAGACTCTATCTGATATAGCTTGTAATCTAATTGCTAGCTTCCTATTACTCCCGTTAGCTCATTGGTCTTGGTTGGTTTAAGTGTTCCGCGAGATCATGTTCCTGCGCAATACAGTCAAATGAATCATTAAGATCAAATAATTGAAACAAGTGTTATTTAACTCTAACATCTAATAAACCACTAACATATCGAAAATCTAAGGGAAAACGGGGTATGGATGACGAGTCCCTAAATTATCTTAAATTATTCTAAATCTAAAAAGCAGAATACATTAAAGGGATAGAAGTATTGGGTTGCCTATCTAACAAGCATTTGATTATAGTCTATAGCTCGACTTTATAGAGGTTGATTCATGGTGGGTCAAGTCGAAAAATTTCACCATTGTATTCCTTGCAATTTCCAGTCTTGTATCCTCTTTCAGTTCTCCAAACTTTGAATTCTCAATTCTCGTCTCTAC